GCCTAACAGAAGATAAGCTTGTTTCATATGTAGCGCTTGGGATCCACGATGAGGGCATTCGTCCTACTGCCATGGCGGCGCTCCATAATCTATTGCGGACCTAAATCGATGCCTCAGCGTCTTCACCGCGCAAAGTTCGGTAGGCAAGGGTGCAAAGCGCGTAATCACGCGAGACGCAAAGATCGAGAAGATTAGAGATTCGCGCGGAAAGGTGACGACGTGTCATGGATGCGGTAAGCCTGGACAGTTTAAGGCAAACCGTCCGGAAGTTAAGGAATGAGAAACCATGGTTAAGGAACGAGAAACCCAAGGAAACGCGAACGGCCCACCGACCGATGAGCGCGCAGGAGTGAAATTCCAAAGGACCATTGGTAGTTGGACTACCAGATGGCCGGGTGCGGTGCTGTTGGAGGTCTCGAGGCGGCAAGGATGACACGAGCGACGTCACAGGGTGGAGTCGTCGTTGGCCGAGTCAGGGAAGCTCTAGCTCGGGTCTGATGACGCAGACCGGGTGGTACGGGACCCATGGCGTAGGCCGGTACCTTGAAAAAACCGGTGTTGGTCAAGTCACGAGGTGCTCCAGCTCTATGCTGGCGGCGCGGACCGGGATTGTGGCGGATACTGGTGCCATGCGAGAACGGTTTGGTCGAGTCTACGAAACGCTCTAGCTTGGTCCTTGTGGCGTGGGCCAAATGTTAAGGGGTCTCGCGGAGTAGACCGGAGCCACGGGAAGGCCGCAAGTCGGAGGGATTTGAGCGTAGACCGATGGCAAGGAGGCACGGGTTAGAGACCACCGGCAAGGCTGACGCCAAACTGCCGTCGAGTTGGATCGCTTCTAGCCGAGAGAGCCTCTGGTCAGGTGCTCGTGCTGCAGGTGGCGTCCAGTAAGGCCGTTGACCGGGGTCCGGGCCAGCTGGGCAAGACGAGAGGATGGCTGAAATTGCGGACATTCTCACGATCTAAACCATCAGCTGACTGGACCAATTCATTATCTTCCTCAACCTAATCCCAGGCACCGCTCTGGTAATGTCGGCAACGCGAACCGTGTTCGCTGATGGACCTGATCACTTCATCGCGAGGTCGACATGTGCCGGGTTGTGAACACTACCGTTCCAGATTCCAAGGATCCCACGTCAATGCTAATGCCATCGAATGTTATAAAGTTGTTCCGGGTGGACATGAGAGGTGGAGATAAATTGTGCCGAGGACGACACACGGGTCACGTAGGCCGAATGAAGGCGCATTCCCTTCCCTCTGGACCAAGTCACCCCATCCAATTTTTGAGAAGACGTAAACAACGCAAGGGCGAGGAAGACCCACCCCTTGCGCGGCGACGTAGAACCAGAGCTCGAAGGGACAAGGAATCGGGGCATTCGATAAACGGACTTCTTAGAGACGTGTCGCGTCCATCGTTGTTTCCTTCGCTAGACATCCATACATTTCGTTACGATAAAGGTTGAATTCTCCTGACATCAACTTTCAAGGGATTCTCACTTTAAAATCTTCCCTACAAAATGTACGATATTCGTTAAATATATAGATAATATATGAAGAATATTTTGTGCTACTAGGGTATATAGCCCGAAATCCTACCGAGTTTCCTGATTTCCCTAGTCGAGGGACTGTTTCTTCTCTCTAAAAAGAACGAATCTTCGCTGCAGCTCCAATTTGGCACACATAAGATCTGCCACAGATAATTGTAAAGGAAATATTCACAAAGGGACAAAGGCAACAAGGATCGGAGGTCCATGGGCGGCCCTATTCCAGGGATCACGGGCAAGAAGACGTGATCATTGCCTAAACAGCTGATACGGCTAAACCAAAACTGTCCCTAGGAGCAGTGGACAGAAAGGACCCTCAGTCTTGGACCACAGAATCGAGGACTTATTCGGAATACTCTAGTTTTGGGACATACACGCATATTTGTCTTATGATAAGCCATCATCCCAGGCTGCGAGATATACGAAATATAGGAGAATTGTCAATAGTAAATATACCTTCTACAATTGTAAACTTTAACCGTGGTGTTCGCTAGAGACCCTACGTAACTTCCAATGAAATCGAAACGCGTTTAAGAATTTTCGGCCGTAATCGACGTTTCCCAAAAGAGCGAACGAACGGTCCCGAGCGAGCCTATCGCCCAAACCGAAACTGGACCAGGGTGTTCCGGTTGATACCAGGCACGCGATATTCAAGCCCCAGCGAGAGAGACCGACGTGTGTGGCCGAAGAAGCACACGGTGGATCCGTAAGGTTGGCCCGTAACAACAGCTGATGCTCAATAGAAGCCCGCAGAGGAACCGCGAGCGAGGGACGGAGAGAGAAGGACCAAGGGCCCTAAGGAGGGAGGGATGGAGAGAAGGAGAGAGGGAGTCCTTTCCTAGTCACATCGCGGCCGTTCCGCGCGCTTCTTTGCCTCTCTTATTTTCTTACCCTCGGTCAGCCCGCCGCGCCGTCTCGACGGTGCAGGTCATTTTATTTATATTATACGCCGAGTACTCGGAGCGTTCGCCTTTTAGGTCCACTTTCGCTCGGAAGTCCTGGTCGACATCGGTACGGCCGAAAAATGCGGCTACGTTACCGTTACTGCGGTTTCGAAAGGAACGACTCGCCGTGATGGACATCCCGACTGGATTTCCTACGGATAAGACGCGAAGCGGTCCTCCTTGTTAATCTCGTGGTCACGGGTTAAACATATTTCATTATTGTAAACGACATCGGTTTAATGCCGTTCTGGCGGAAACGAAAAGATGAAAACTAAAAAATAGCGTTGATGGTAAAATTCATTGTTTTGGGTGCCTTCTTGAATGCACCTTTGATAAGCCAATTATCGTTGTTGATAAAATTCATTGTTTTGTGTTCTTTCTTGAATACACCTTTGATGAGCTCGATTATCGTTGTTGATAAAATTCATTGTTTTGGGTGCTTTCTTGAATACACCTTTGATAAGCTCGATTATCGTTGTTGATAAAATTCATTGTTTCGGGTGCTTTCTTGAATGCACCTTTGATAAGCTAATTATCGTTGTTGATAAAATTCATTGTTTTGGGTGCTTTCTTGAATACACCTTTGATAAGCTCGATTATCCTGCCATAGGAGTCGTTTTGTCCTCGCTGATCTACTTGTTTCAAGGAGTACCAGCATTGACGCACTTGAGAGACATTTCTAAATATCCATTACCGTGCTTCAGAGAGTTATTGAAAGCAGTACCCTGACACGTTACTCTGGGTAAAGGGGGAAATAAAGGGTTATCCACCCGGATACACGTTGAAATTCCTAATAATGCTACCTATGGGGTGGCAACCGCCAGCAAACGAGAATAAAATGATTTAGTACTCAAGGCGTTTGTCCTTGCGATGCGCTTTCATTCAGAAGTACCTCTCAGTACCCTGGTGCACTTGAAGCATGTAACTTAATTAACGTTACTACAAATTCGAAACCCTTATATGAAAACCTTTTAAGGTTTAAGGTAAGGTACAATATAGGTAATTTTTCTTATTAAAATATGAAACGAAATGCGATTCCATTTTCGCGTGAAATTCACAGGGACACATCGTTGAATGTGTCCGGTATATTGAAAGTAGGGTTGAGGGTAATTTTATTGTATCTTTCTGGTAATCGCAATATACCGACTTAGGATTACTAGAAAAGCTCGTTTTTTGTGTAGTTTTAAAATTCATGATTTATAGTCATTTTTTCGGTATTTTCACCCATTAAGTGAATAATTACCAGGGATTGGTAGATCCGAATGAACGATCGCACGTAATTTGAATCATTCAATTAATGATAACGAGGCTCGTCTTTATCCATTTCGAAATATTGCAACAAATACCCCGTATAAATTGTTACTCTCTTTGTTTCTCCAGGCAGAGTGTAAATCCACATCCAAAAGTAGCTTACAGATTATTAAATGATACGTTTCATAACGTGGCTTTAAGATGTTACGGAGTTGATCGTTTTATTTTAGCCAAATTCCCTCGAAAAGTATTCGATTAAACGTTTTTCGAAATTTGACCCTGTCTTCCTGTATTTCTCTTCGTACATCAAGCAGAAACATGATAAATCGGTCTCTTTAGTTTGAGCTATACGGTTCGTAAGGTACTACCTCCAGCCCAGGGCGAATAAAATTATTTCCCGGTTTGACAAGAATTGATTTTTATTTAAATTACAACAATCACACGTCATCGATTCGTGGGAAGTTGCTTGTACCAATGGTCTATTATGACAAACGTGGAGGCACGATGTGATGGCCCGCAAGCTTTGTGTGGTAAATGTCACGATGCCATGCCCACGTGTAGTCGCCCTTCTCTCTTAGAGAGAAGGTCGACCTTCCGAACAAGATTAATGATCATCGAAAGATCGGCCACAACCGAAGTACATGATCTTTCATAATAATCGCAATACCTATCCCTCTTGTGTGCGTAAATTACCGCACCGAATCTCTCGAACTAGCATCCATGACCCGATTAAAAATTGAATATAAAACGTGGAATGTGCGCAAGAGTTTCGTTCAACCACAGGGCAAAGCTAGAATTTTGCAATTTTGATCCTTCGTAGATTTCGAAATCGATATATCCCAAGGAACCATAATTTGTTCGGCAATTCCGAACCCATCACCCCCCGATGTCGGGGTCTCTCGTCTATTTACACCCTCGTTAACAACTATTTATTCGCTCGCGGAAGAAAAAACCGATCAGATATATATATATAAGATACTCTATGAATCATAAATTAATTCGAATTATCCCTATGTATAGCTATGATACACTTAATGTACAGCTCAGTCCGGTTCCCAGAGGAACAGACGCCCAGGATTGGTCCAGGAGAAGGCCTCGCCTCCTGGTGGCGAGTTCCTCTCCGATGTTGTGCTCCTTGGCTCGCGCGTCTCCTTCGTCCTTTCCCGAGCCAAGTCGCGCCAACTGGTAGATTCTTATTCTCCTGTCGATCGGGGTCTTTGGTTGTACACATGCGGAATACTGTTTCTGGATCTAGGCAGCTAACGTAGCTCGTCAGTCTGAAACATTTGGCAGAAAGGAAACTGAGAGCGCGCATTAAGTTGTACACATGCGGAATACTGTTTCTGGATCTAGGCAGCTAACGTAGCTCGTCAGTCTGAAACATTTGGCAGAAAGGAAACTGAGAGCGCGCATTAGGATCGAGTCCTGCAAGCTAGCCTTTATGGGCTTTGGGAATGTTCAGCTACCGGAGGCTGCAGGAGAAGTACCAGGCTCTGGATCATTAAACCGGCTTCTTCGAGGCGAAAGAGCCACCCAGAGGGCTTAGAGCCGAGGATTCGACTTGGAACCGAACGATCCGATTCATTTCACGAAGCCCTGCAGCCACCGGAAGCTCTATAGTCATTCTTTCACAGATCTGAGATACTTTGAAATTTTAAGGGGCTGTACCACAGGGAACGTCCGAAAACGTCACACATGTTTCACAATTTTTTCCTCGAAAAGTACTGCATATAATGGCACAAACTTTTTCCCCATGATAGGTCTAATGTAGGAGAATATAGGACAATTTTTCTTTGTTGTAAAAAACACATATTTATTTATTTATTATTACAAACGTAGAGTGGTAGAAAAAATTGTTTGCACCTCGCGCAGGTGATTTCTCAAAAACAGCCGAACTGATCGAGTTCAAATTTTAGCACTATATTTGGCAAACACATGGCTATCGCCTGTACCTCAATCGTGGTAAAGTTTTAATTTTAATTCATACTTTTGCCTTAAAAATGTGGATTTTTTTGACGTTCACCGTGGAATAGCCCCTTAAGGATCCGTCTTCTTGGATAGCAAGGAAAAATGTTAGTATCTGAGACCCTGAAGTACAATATTAGTAGATAAAAATAATAGTTTTCGCATTGTTTGCAAACGTCGCATTTATTCGAATATCAAAATTGCAGACATCTTCGCGAATCCCCTCCAGAAATTAAGGGGATCTGATAACGTCATCTAAGGGCTCGAATGTTCATGAAACTTTTCTTAGAACCAGGTGTACTGAATTATTTCAAACATTAGAATGTTAATATGGAGACTATGAGGAAGGTCCTGACAGCCATGAAATTTCATATTTTATAGACAATTTAAAAAATGTCTATAAATAAAATTTTAAAAAATTTTAAAAAAGACCTTATAGCCCTTACAGCCTCCACATTCACATTGTGAAGTTCGATATAATTAGGTACACCCAGTTCGGACAAAAGTTTTATAAATAAGACCTCTTTCACGTCACTTTCACATCGCCTTAAGGTGAAGTGAAACACGTCGAGGAACTTGATCGACGTCGGTGAAGAAGATTTTTCTAAATACCTACGTTGCTGACGTTCGTTTTCATATAGCTATATTCAATTATATTGAATATTCAACTAAGTGGCATACTCCACCTGTCGTTTTTGTGCAATAATTATAAAGTAATCGAAGTACAACTTCAGATATCACTTGGATTCATGGTTTCTTATGCCCTGATTGACTATAGAGTGCCACCCTGTGCCATCTGTGATTTTAGGGTCAACTAAAGTTTTTCTTCGAGGCCTCGCGTTACCTTCGTTTTAGCACAGAAGCGCATAAGACACATTTTTTTCCTTTATCCCGTTCAAATGCGAGTTTCTCGATTACTAGAGTGTTTTAAATTGTTGTGCAATTGTCCTGACAACTTCGTTTCTCATATCAGAGTCTTTCATACTTGTATATCGATCGAAATATGAAAACTGACGCCATTTTGGTTCTAGTCTAGTCCAAGTCAAAAAATTCTTTGTCGAAATCCAAATTTTGAAAGTGTCAGGACAATTCTTACGTGATCATAAGTCATGTGTGAAAGTTTCGAACAGTTCGATCTAATATCCTTAAAAAAAAGGGGTCTTATTCGAATCGACGGATTTAAGGGGGGTTCACTTCACCTTAACACCGTCGTGTCATTAAATTTTCAGGAGGGAAAATGCAGGTTTTTTATGTAAATTGAAATTCCGCGTTTGTGTCCCTGCGATTACAAATAGAAGATTGTATTCGAGGTAGTACAATGAATTTTATCTTATTGGGAGCCGCGACTTTCTTCCGGATTGGACGAAGAAGTTAGGAGTCTCTCTACCGACCCTCGAAGTCCGAAGGCTTCCAAAAATGCGCGTAATTATTAGGTAGCCATTGAGGAGAAAGAGAGAAGACGAGAGCAAAGGACGTTGGTAACGGCGCGAGGCAGGTGTTCTACCGGAAGGGACGAATTAGAGGAAAAAAGCCACGAGGGACGAAAATAAAAGCAGAAAGTCCGCTGACGGACGGATCGCCCGAGAAAGGAGTAAAAAGTCGCCATTGCTGCACGGTACGCTTGAAAGAAACCAGAACCGACGGTGCCCATCAGACTATTTTCGTCCCTCGGGGCCCGAAATTTTCGCTCGGGTGTATTCTTCATCTGTGGATAGGACGCTTGCGATTCGTTGAATGGGCCGTATTTCACGAAGGTCCCCAGTTCGTCAAAAAGCTGCGCTAACGAGCGAATAACTTGCCGTCGAGTGGTTCGAGACACTTCCTTTTTAATTAGATCCTACTAAACTATTCCTTATCGAAATGATATTTTTAAATAGTGTCATTAATTCGGACCGTACTTTCCCCTGTAAAGCGACAACGATTGGTCTCGTTCTTTCTCTAGGAAAGTTATTAGATTCAGGATATAGGTACTGATCTTGAACAACAACTGTTTCTTCTAGGGGAAAGCGATAGATCTTTCCTAATTATTTTCTTCCTAGAGTTCGGGGTGGAGATTGGATTTTAGAGGTTGTGGAAAGTCGCTCCAAGTCTTGTTAACGACTATATTTACCTTGTGTGGTAAGTAGAAGCAGAAAAATGGCAAGGACCAGGGTCGTCCTATTGACGAGAACCTGAATTCCGTGACCACGTACGTCCGTCCTCAAGATCTCGTTGGTCCTAGTGTCGCCTATGACCTTCTTCACCTCGTGGTACTCGTTGTGAGTCTTGCCGGAGCACAACCGGTTCATGTTGCGGTGAATCCCCTTGCAGTCGTACTCTTCTGCACCGTCGCAGATGCAGGTGTTCAGCTTAGCCGCCTTTTCTTGACGCCGCAGGATATTGATCGAGTTACGACACCTAGAAGAGACCGTCGATATCAACCTCCGGGTATCAATTGGTTACGAATGCTTATATATAGGCGTTGTATTCCTGATTGCCAAAGAATTGCAATTGCGGCCCACTGAAACGAACTGTTGTAGCGACCACAGCTAGAAGATGACATACCGACGATTTGCAGCAACCACGAAACAAATGATTCACGTAATTTATTTTCATAAGCAGGCTCCAGCGACTTCTGTTACCTACCTAGGGGTACACTTTTTCCCGTGGAACATGCTCCTGCAGAACTCGTTATAATACGCCAGGGCAGTGGAACACAGGGCATCGGCGTTGCAGATCCAAGTGGCGACTCTGCAGGAGACTCGCGTCTTGTTCATCATCAACGTCACCGACGGCCTGCAGACTTCCACCCTCTGCTTCGATTGTAGACATAAGAAGTCATTGCGAGCGCAGTTACACTGGAAGAAGGATTTTACTCGTAGACTCTTCTTGATTACCCAACTTCATGGCAAGACATGTATAAATTTTTATTATTTTTCATCTACTTTTCACTTTCTATTTTGTAGACCATCAATACCTACGGTCATCAGTTCCTTGCCCTCGTCCGAACTGGTCAAGGCGACCAGGGCGTCCTGACAGAACTGAGGGCATTCGGAGATGTTCCCCTGGAGAACGGAGTTGCACCCTGAAAGGTATTGTTCTAGGGCAGTTCCGCAACCCTTTCGAAAGGCGCACCTCCATTTGGCTTCGTCGCAGAGCATCGTGCCAGTTGTACACATTGTGCAAATCGTCGACAGTACCATGATGGCCAGGACGATGTCCGTGCTCCTTGCTCCGGGAGACATCCTCCTGGAAGAAACGACGATTTTGTGCTTTAGTGACGCTTCGTTGAAACGGATTACTGGTGTCTACACGGGAAACTTTTTCCACGGTAGGATAATTTCTGTTACACCTTGCGGTCGTGCAGGACCGGACATTTACTTTGACAACGATACACTTCGCATCCAATGTACATTCAATACACTTTCTCTGTAACCGCAAGGGGAGTTTGGCCTTAAGTGCGGACGAAAGCCGAGAGTTGAACGGTTTCCTTGGGAGAATACAGATGGTATTCTCTAAAAAAGATATCTGAAAGATGATGTCTTTTTCGTTCCTTAATAAATTTTGTAGTGCATGCGTTGACTGCTCAAACGGATGTTAAAGTACAAGTCCTCTTCGGACGTGGTAAGAAGCAATTTAAGGCAGTCGTACCGTGTGACGACTATTTTTTCGCCTCTTTTGTGAATTTTGGAACTTTTGCAATATATTTATTAACATTTATACAGTCACTCAGAATTTTTTCAATTAAAAATATATATTGGAATTTTTACAGTTTTGTCTTTTTTTTCGACTTTTTAAAATTGCTAAAAAAAAACTATGACAGATATCGCAATTATCCTAATTCGAGCGATAACTATAAGTATTCCGAACATCCCATATAAATTTGAGCAAAATCGATTCAGGAGTTTTTGAGGAATCGTGTCAGCCAATTTAAAAATTGCAGTTTTTAAATACCCGCCGCTCGAACGCCAAGCCGAAACTAACCTAACCGTTCCTGTAGCGTCTCGTTTAATATAGAAAGGGATTTCCAATGAGTTTAGTATCTCCTCTAGGCGAATATGAGTCAGAAAGGTCTTAGGTAGCAGCCGAATTCATTGAATTCATGGAATTCATCATAACGAAGGCTCCGGTGCTCCACTCCTCTTCGAATACCTTCTCCGTTTTACGTCTTTAACTACCCACCGACTTCGAATATTAAAAATCCTTTATTCTACGTATTCTAGACATATTAAAAAGGCAATTTATCAAGTACAAATTTTTGAATTTTTCAAATGCAATTTTTCAATTTTTCAAACCTATCACACGAGACGACCGCCTTAATCGTGCTTATTTCTCTTGAATGTATAAGCAGCAAATGATTTCCTAATTACCACATTCTTAGATACCTTTTAATTTCTGCCGGTCATACTCGAAAACGATTGCAAAAGTTGCGTTACGACATTTTTATCGCTCGTAGTTTCTTTGACGCATGCGACTGACCAATGTGATACGCGTTATTTATAAGTTTATCATCTCTCATTACGCGAACGTATTTCAGAGTCCAAGTGCGTAATGATCTTTAAGAGCAAGATTTTCCTTTTGGCAAGTACACGCGTACTATCGGTCCTCAAGATGTGATCTTTGATGAACTTTAATATACCGGAAGATGAGCTCCTGAAGAGAGAGTTCCTTTATCCAATTAAAAGTCACTTGAAAGATAGATCTGATTTATATAATTTGCAATATTGCAATGGATCAACGCCAACGACAGCGTCTCCTTATCGATGGACACGCTAGGGAATTGATAAAGGCATTTCGCGATGGTTAGGGTTCGCGATTCTATGCGTATCGTTACGAGAAAATCCCCGTCGCGAATTGCTTTGACGCGGTATTGCGTAGCTGGTAATCACAGTCAATTGAGATAAGATCGAAAGACAAATCCGGATCGCAGAGATCTATTTATAGTGCATAACCAAAATTAAACATTTTATCAAATGCGACCGTATAACATGTACTACCCATTCAATTGTTATCACAAGATTGGTCGCTTAGAGTGCCTCTTGACATATTGTAAAATAATCGCTGGATTATTTAATGTTATAAAAACATGGGTGTATTTACGTCAAGGTGGAATAATGCCAAGATGCTGGAGAATAAATTTCACATAGATGTTTTCAAAAAATTTATAACCAAAATTAACCATTTTATCAAGCGCGACCGTATAATATGTACCACCCATTCAATTGTTATCACAAAATTGCTCGCTTAGAGTGGCGCCTGACATATTGCAAAACAATCGCTGAATTATTTAATGTTATAAAAATATGGGTGTATTTACGTCAAGATGGAATAATGGCAACATACTGGAGAATAAATTTCACATAGATATTTTTAAAAACTTTATAACCGAAATTAAACATTTTATCAAGCGCGACCGTATAACATGTACCACCCATTCAATTGTTATCACAAGATTGATCACTTAGAGTGGCTCCTGACATATTGTAAAATAATCGCTGGATTATTTAATGTTATAAAAACATGGGTGTATTTACGTCAAGATGGAATAATGGCAAGATACTGGAGAATAAATTTCACATAGATATTTTTAAAAACTTTATAACCGAAATTAAACATTTTATCAAGCGCGACCGTATAACATGTACCACCCATTCAATTGTTATCACAAGATTGATCGGTTAGAGTGGTTCTTGACATAATGTAAAATAATTGCTCGATTATTTAATCATCTGTGACGTTTAGCTTCAACTAAATTGGGTTGACCACGCCCACATTATCGGCACTTATCGAATGCGCTAAATTTATAGTTAATTCCCAAGGAACAAACGTTGTTGTTACGATGATCTCAGTTTTTGGACTCGACGCGATGTAATTTGAAATGAAAGTGATATAACGAGTGCACCAAATTCATAATTAATTCCCAAGGAACAAAAGTTGTTGCGATGATCTCAGTATTCGGACTCGACGCGATGCAATTTCAAATGAAACAGGTGCGTAAAGCTGGCACCCCCACCTTTACAAAATTCAAATTTCTTTGTCTTAACATTTTGTGCTCTTTATGTGCTAATTATGTGCTACATTCGCAAATTTTGTGCTAGCTCGGTTTTTGGAAAAAAATTCAATTTTTCTGTGGGGGTGCTGGGTACTAATAAAGCTAGCACCCCACCATTAAAAAATGTGTTTCCGCACCTAAATGAAACTCTGATATAACGATACAACCGACCGCTAAATTCCTCGGTAGTTGGCGGCACGTGGTTAGGTTGAAATAGATTTATTCCCTCGGCGAGAGCCGCGGACATTCGAAGAGGCAATTAGCTCGCGGAAAGAGCGTTTACCGGTCTCTCTAGCAGTTAACGCCAGCCGGGGCACAATACCGGCACCGGTCGAGCCCTAATTGCGCGCGTTAATTGCTCATCGGGCAAATTAATCCGGTTCCCCTGGGCGCGCCGCGGGAGTGGCGCGCATGCGCATGCTTCCTTTGGCCCTCTGGAAAAGAGCGGGAAGCATTTTAAGCGTGGGGCGCATGCACGCCGCTGCCTCCGTCTTCCTTCGGGGATCTTTTTTCTCTCATTTTCTGGGTCTCTGCCGAGTGCCAAGCCTCGATCGGTCTCGCTTCCTCTCGTGCGACGACCTTGCGACGGTATTCCGACTGGGATATACGTGGGTGACTCGACCTCTTCTCTTTCTCCGTTTTTCTCCTCGTCGGCGCATCACCCGAGAAGCGGATCTACCGCGCGTGCGCGGCTCCGTCCGGGCGAGGCGGGCGACGGCCGAAGCGAGAGAGAGCGATGCCGCCGCTCGCGCGAGGAAGCGAGACGAGCGACGAGACGGCCGCGTTTGTTTGCAAACAGAAGCCGGGACGGTACGTGGAAGATTTTTAACCCGCCGTTTGCTCGCAGTACGTGGCGGCACGTCCACCGTGCGGGTCGTTTCGACGTGGCGCACGGAGACGAAAATGACGAAGAAGCTGGCCAAAACTATTTGTCCGCCTGAATGTCAAATTTTTGTATTTTAAGGTGAAGTGAAACCACCCCCCTAAGACACTTTTTATAAGAGGACTGAACCTTTTGAAACTTTGACACGTGACTCGTGAGCACCTAGGAATTATTCCGACACTTTCTACATTTGGATTTCTCGAAAGCATTTTTTACCTTTGCCCAGGCCAGAACCAAAATGGCGTCTACTCTCATATTTCGATCGATGTACAAGTTTTGAAGACTCTCATATGAGAAACGAAAATGCCAGGACAATTGTACAACAACAGAGCGTTCATAATCGAGGAACTCGCATTTCAACGGGGAAAGGCAAAAAAGTGTTTTATGCGCTTCTACGGTAAAACGATGGGAATACGAGGTCTCGGAGTGAAACTTTACTTGACACGGAAATCACAGATGGCGCAGGGGGTTCCTCTGTAGTCAATTAGGGTTTCAGAAACCATGAATCCAAGGGATTTATGGAGTTTTACTTCGATTTATTTATAATTATTGTACGAAATCAACAGGGATTCCCAACGAAATTAAGAAATTTAAATAAACATATACATTGGAAACTGTAGTACTTAACTCCTCAAAATACCTTCGGTGCATCAAAATTTAGTCAAATATATTTATCTTCATTCAAATAATTGCAAAAATAACCCAAATTCCTCCCTTCCCGTAATAAGCTCAAATCGACTATTTTTGCCAAATATAGTAGAACAGTCATTTCGTTAAGGTGAAGTGACAACGTTTGTTTTTATATTGACAGCTGTGTCGAATTCTATTGGGTATTGTACCAAATGACATACTCCATCTGTCGTTTTCGTACAATAAATATCAAGAAATCAAAGTAAAACTCCAGAAATCCTCTGGATTCGTGCTTTCTGGAGCTCTAATTGACTGCAGAGGGACTCCCTGCGCCATCTGTGATTTCCAGGTCAATTAAATTTTCACTCCGAGACCTCGTATTCCCATTGTTTTAGCATAGTAGCGCATACAACACTTTTCTTCCCTTTATCCCGTTGAAATGCGAGCTTATCGATTACCAGAGTGTTCTAAGTTGTCGTAAAATTGTCCTGACCCTTTCGTTTCTCATATCAAAGCCTTCGTTAATTGTATATTCATCGAAATATGAGAGCTCGACGCCATTTTGGTTCTGCTCTGAGCCGTTAAAAATTCTTTTCAGAAATCCAAATTTTGAATGTGTCAGAATAATTCCTACATGCTCGCTAGTCACGTGTCAAAGTTTCGAACGTTTCGATCCAATTCCCT